TCATTAATAAAGTATTCCACCCTTCCATTATACATCCCATCATCTCAACATCACACTATCCCTCGAATCACAACTCTTTCTATTTCTTCTACCACTCGATTATTTATTCGTTATCCCCCCCTTCCTCAAAACCATATCCATTTCTACCAATTGTTCCTCCTCGAATATTGATCTCACCATCCATCTCATCACCCACCCACCTCATCCACTATTGTTCTATCATCATCCCAACATCATTACTTTATACTATATCCAAGCTATCTACCTTCATCCGACAGCTCATTTCATCTTCACCAAGTTGACGCCAATATCAAATATACATCCCTCCATCCCTCTATCTCTCCATTCCCTATCTCATCACTCCCTCCCTTAACACTTCATCAAAAACACCCCTTTTCCCTTTCTTTCTTTGTTCGAACATCTATATCCCTGTACATTCTACTATTTCTCCCCTTAAATATCTCGCTTCATTATTTAATCATACCCCTCCCATAAATATAACATCTTTCATTTATTCTAGCATTCCTCCTCTTAATCATTTTACCTTTTTATTCAATTCTCTCTTCATCCAGCCACCCCCTCCCCTTTAAACACGATATCCTCCCATCCATCCTACTGTTCCTCTCTCCATCTCACTACTCCCCCCTCCTCTCCCTCCCCCAAATACAATATCTCAAACATAATATCCCACCGTCTACACCACTATCCCTCTTCTCTTCTCTTCTCTTCTCTTCTCTTCTCTTCTCTTCTCTTCTCTTCTCTTCTCTTCTCTTCTCTTCTCTTCTCTTCTCATCCCACACATAATCACCAATTAGAATCCAATCGACTCCGTGCATCAATCACCAATAACCAATCACAAAATATATCCAATCTACACCAATCATTCACATTAATCTTTCACACTAAGCACACTAATTATACTAATCCTATATGCATTCCTTTCTGGATTCTCTATTCAATTCTACTCCCTAGCTTCTATATCCTCATATCCCACTATAAAATCAAATACTTACTTGCAAACAAACACTCGCTCATTCACCTACTTATTCATTCATTCATTCACTCACTCACTCATCAAACACCCACCTAAAATACAAATACAAATACCAATCTCCAATTTTAAAAATCAAAATAGAAAATAATTGAAAAGAATGAATGTGAGGCATAAGTTAGCTGTGAGATAGTAAATAGAGTAGGAGAGATATGAGTAGATATAAGTGTTATATTTTATTATATCAATTCGATAATAGAACAAATATACATTCCTCTTTTTTCACCTCCCTTCCCCTCCTCTTTCATTCCCACTTTCAATTCCCTCTTCTTCTATTCCTCTTCTCCCCTCTCTTCCCCTAACTCTCCCCCCTCCTCCCACTTCTCTATCTCTCCCTCATTCTATTTCTTCTCTTCCTCCTCTCTTCCCCCTTTCCTCCTATTTGATTCTTGCCTTTCATTCCCTCCTCTTCCTTCCTCTCCCCTCCTCTTATCTTTCTCTTTCTCTTCCCTTCCATCTCTTATAATCCTCCCCCTTTCCCTCTTTTTTTATTCCCGCTTTCCATTCTTATCTGTCCTCTTCCTTCCCTAACCCCCCCTCCCACTACTACTCCATTTCTTCTGCCTCTCCCTCCCCCCTCTCCATCCCCCATTTCTCACTCGTGATTCCTATTTCCCATCCCCTGTTTCCTATCCCCTACCCTCAATATCATATTCCCATCCCTCATTCCCACTCCCATCTCCCCCTCTCATTCAAATGCTTCAATGTATACTATTCTCCTTATAAATACCATTCTCCTTATACCTAGCACACCGACCGACTTCCCAGCTCCACAGCTTCAATCTTACCACAGCACCTCACTTCATCTGAAGCCTCGTAGATTCAAAGCCTCGAAGATTCAAATACTTGTATACTCGAACACTCGAATGCTCAGAGATTCAGAGATTCGAATACCTACCATTACTAATCCGTGGGTTGGATGGTCATTTAGTGGTTGATGTATGATATGAGATGATATGAGATGGTATGTGGTGATATAAGATGAGGTGATATAATATAACAATAATAATTGTGATAGCGAGATGTAGCTTCTCCGCATACGTATGTGTATGTATATATGTCAACGAACCTCAAAAGTGTGGAATGAATCACATGGGACAGAATCAAGAATGAGCCATATGAGATATTCATATCTTCGATTTCGAGAATATTTATTTTCATATGAACATAATTGGAAGAAATAGGTTGATTACCCATTGGATCCCCTTTCACTTCTCTGCTAAATAGCTTTTCCAGTGATGGAATCACACGCTATCCACATTCAATCTCCCACATAATCACCATACCACTAGCAACCCATGAGCCATCCTCACAATTCATGACCGTTGCTATGCGGGGCTTCATGACCATGTTTTAAAACCCGTTGAGCATTTTCATTTCCATTCGCATCAATTGAATCATCTACAACTCGTTGTGCTCCTGTCCATCACCATCAGAATCAGCAAGTGCCGTCTTGACCGCCTCTGCGGCTTCGGAAATGGCACTTTTCACACCTCCTGTTGCTGCCTCGGTAGCTTTTTCGGTAGCTTTATCCGAGAGTGACGATGCGCTATCGGTGGCGCTATCGACTGTATCGGATGAAGAGGAGGTCTTTTCAATAATGGTTTCGGGTTTAGGGACACCGTCAATTCCCATGAGTTCGGTTTCGAAGACTAGTGGGGAGAGGAAAGATTAGTTTTGTATATTCGGTAAGTGGGAATTGAGATAGAAGAATGGGGGTAGAGAGATTTAATGGAAAATATTCTTGAAGGGGATATTTGATATAAGAATGAAAAGTCACTTACTCAATGTACTCTTGGCTGGAATTGGCCCCATAGCTCTATCACCATAACCAAACTCGGGAGGAATGGTAAGAACTCTCTTTTCACCAATACACATATCGAGAAGATTATCATCCCATCTGCAAGTCCATAATTAGTATTTCCATCCATATCCCTTCATATCCATCACTCCAGACAATTCAAAAGTACATACCCTTTAATAACACTACCCTTTCCAACCACGAAACTCAATGGAGATCCACGATTGTAAGAAGCATCGAATTCTTTTCCAACCTTTCCATCCTCCTCAAGGTTTCCTCGATAATGAACGTGAATCTTATCACCCACTTGAGTTTTGCGCTCACATTCCACAGCTTTGATTACATCAATCTTCACTTCCGCAGCGAGGACCGAGGAAGTGAGAGCAAGGAGGGAGATTGTTGCAAGACGCATATTGAAGGTATCGTATTGACAATTGGTTGAAGGGATCAATTGATTGTTGATGGATTGAAATTTATAAAGGGATATTTTGTTGTGTATTTTGATGTGCAACAAAGAAGTATTGGACACGTTGAGGATTGAGGATGTGAATGGGTGAATATGGGGTGAAGCCTTGTCCCGCATGAAGCTCTCTCGGCTCAAGTGTGTATGAGCCAATCAAATCGATCAATGATGGATGACTACACACAATGCCATACGTAGATTGCAGGCACATGTGGAATTCTTATTTTCCCCTCCATCCATCTGTTTTGTTCTTCTCTTGAACCACGACATTGTTATTGTTACATCAACTTCGCTTTCATGATGAGATGGTGCGATTGTCTATCTGTTTGCTTGTTCCTTTGTTAATTTTCACGTTGAATTCTACTGTAATGTTCACCGACAGGATACTCGAAGGTCTTCATACAGTTCTTTATGCCTTGGTATATACCTAGTATCCAATATCTGATCACGAGTTCATCCATCCATGCCCAGGTACACACATACATATCCTCACACCGAAGGCAAAGATGGCAATGCCGATGCGATTCGTATGCGTAATTCATTCACCGTCAGTCAACCGTCAGTCAGTCAATCATACAAACACCCCCCAGACTCAATATTTGACTCATAGTCTTATCGATATCAAACAAAATACCTGGGTACCTAGGCAAAAACGCAAAAACGCAAAAACGAACTAAGAAACCTCACCTCAGCTGAACACATGGAAGCCTCGAAAACAATCAACCAGAATTCAGTCAAGGCAACAATTAATTCAATCATTCAATCACCAATCACATCACCTTCTTGGATCCGTTTTCCCCCATCTTCTCGTATCGTTCTACGATCCAAAAGTTTCCGCAAATTTCCATCCGTCTTGTTTGTCTTTCCTGCCTGCTTGTTTCAAAAAATGCCCGACAGAAAGCCACGAGGGAAAATGAGGGAGGAGCCCGAAGAAACGGATGGCTGTGCTCTCTCGTACGTCCAAGGTTCACCAGTGCCTCCACATACTTCTACATTCTTTCTACATTCGATCAATTCTTATGGGCTGTGTCAAACAAAGCAATGGATCATAGGAAATACCTCGTTTCCACTTCCCGAGCATGACTACTTCGCCGGTGGGAGCCTTAAGCTTATTTACTTTAATTTCCCTTTCACCTGATTCCGTATCCGAGATTCAAGGTCGACGTCACCATCTAACCTCGATTCTTCTTATTGTACTTGGGTGAAACCATTCACCGAAATGTTATTGTCCATTAGCTTGGTGACTCATTGGATTGAAATGACCATTTTGAGTCAAATAACACCTCCAAAGGTAGCCACCTATTGGGTAGATGGTTCAAACTGTCTCCGTCCTTAACAGGTGAAGTGGGCAATGTCCTTGTTGGGCTTCTCTGTCAATGATTTTGCCTTGTTTGGAAAGCTGCTGTGTGCAACAGGTAACAATTGAATGATTTCATTAGTCAATTTCTCTGTTTCTCTTGCACTATAATAAGTATGATGTTTCTCTTTTTGTTTGCTTTTTCATTTGGTCAAGATTAACTATTAGTTTGAGTATACGGAATTTGAAACAATTCTACAATACTCCATTCTGCGCCCTATACATCTCATACGCCCTATACGCCCTTCTACCATATAATAAAATCAAACTTTCGCCTCGCACATCAAGTACATAGAGATTCCGAAAGTACCTATCCGAAGAACCTCAAATGTCATACACTGATTCTCGTGGATACACATACACACAAAGAACTAATATCATACATCACCGGGAATCTTCTCCAAAAGATTCACAATACTCGTACGAAACTCGGTCATCCGATTATCATACCGGATCAAACTCAAATATGTCGGGACGTTCATCAAGCAGTGGACAAGGTTATGGGTCTGAAGGAAGTGGTGGAGAACAAAGTGTGAAATATAGAGATTCTGCTGCAGGTATGAAGATATCTTTACTATTTTTTTCTCTCATTATATACAACATGTAACTAACATATTTCTCCCCATTCAGCTAAGAAATATATTGAAGGAAAAACATCAAAAAGTGGACACAGTCATGTCATCAATCATACAGATAGTCATAAACACTATGATTCTGCAGAACCTAGGACAGGTGAAGGCAGAGAGAGTGATTATCATGCCGCACGTTATGAGCGATATGAAAGAGAGAAATTGCGGACATCGGCAAATCGTCGTTGAGTAGAATGAGGCGGTAGATGACCAATTGAAGTGAGGCGGAGAAATGGGGGCTAAGCGACGCCACAATGAAGGCTACAAGGCGGATTTGTTTTCTGGGGTGTTAGATAGTGTGGGGGTTCTATTATGGTTTGTACCTTTGGCATTGATGGGGATACTGCTTCTTCATTTGGTATTTGTATGGATATGGGAATAGGCATAGATGGCGTTAAGAGAGATTTGAACGCATATAGTTCTTGGATGGGATTTTGGGATTGCGGGGTATTTTTTAGGACTTTGGAATGGGATATATGGAATGGGATAAGATGGATTAGATAGGATGGGATAAGATAGGTTACATTCAAGTGGTTTTCTCTTTAAGGGTGGAATGGAGACGGAGGATAGAGATGTTTATCTATTGAACGTATCAACAATTATAACAACTCTACACCATCTCATTTGTGTTATGTGCATCCTTTTCTATTGGAAAATAATATGCATGTTTACATGATGATGTCTGGATTGAAAATAAATTATGCACACATGCATGTATGTTGTCATCAGAATCATATGAAGCATATCTGTTTACTTCAAATCGGGTATGGACATTGATGGAGTGGTTCATGCTATGACATGCTATTCTATGTCGTGTCGTGCTATGTTGTGTGTGTCTCACGCTACTACTCCCATCTAGGTTTAAATCTAGGTCTAGGTCTAGGTCTAAGTCTAAATCCAAGTCTAAGTCTAAGCAAGTCTAAAAGTGTATGTGAGTGTGTGTTTAAATATACATATATACGATACACAATATATATAAATATATTATATAGAGATAGTACTGGGTATTCTAAAATATTGAGAGAGAGGAGGGGGGGTTTAGCTGACTAGCAAGCTAGATGGTCTTATTTGGATTTGGATTTATAGAGGTGGGTGGGTAGATAGGTAGGTAGATGTTTTGTGGGGGTGTTGAGTGGGAAGGGAGGGAGTGAGGGAGTGGGAAAGAGTTCTGCACTTCATTGCATTCGTGGGAAGGAGAGGAAAGTAGTTCTTGGTAGTTTCTATGGGTTTGCATGTGGGTTTTTATCTCTTCACCTCTTTACCCACTTCGGTACTGATCTCTCGATTAAATCTCACACTCCCTTTCCAAGAACTCTTGAGATGTTTTTTCCCCGGTCTGGTCTGGGATGGCGTGGTACCACGGGTCCCGTGGTACGAACCTCGTTGTCTGTTCGTCGGTGTTTGTTTGTGTGGTGTGGCTCGTGCTGATAAGTGAACCATGGGGCACAACGTAGCTAGCTAGCTAGCTGTTCGCAGGAACGAGGGATTAGTAGGGGAGGGGGAGGACAAGAATTGAAAATTCGGTTTGTGGGGGGTGTGGAGAAGGGGGGTGGAGAAGGGGAAAGAAGGCTTCGGTTGCTGTTCTGTGGGTGTGGGTGTACTGCATACATGGTGGGTTTTATAGAGAGAGGGAATAGTGTGGGTGTGGGTGTGAGTGTGGATGAGGATGAGGATGGGGATGTGATTTGATTTGATTTGATGGAATGTGTGGGTTATGATGTACATACGAGTGAATATGCATATGGAATAGGAAATTCCAAGTAAACTAACAATATACGAATACTTATCATGCTTGTGATACTCGAAAAGAGAAGAGAATCGAGAGGTTAAAAATTGCGAGTAAAAAAAACAAGAATGTAATGTGGCCTGCTCGTTCGTGTTCGGGAGGTTACATGGAGATGGATGGTTTAGTAGGACGGGACACAGCAGAACAGCATAGGATAGCATAGCGTAACGCGAACGGGAAATTTGGGGAAATCAGGGTCCTGTGAAATGATGCGATGTGATGTGATGTGGTGTGGTGTGGTATTTATTGCTTTGATGGGAAGGAGGGGTGGGATGGGGTCTCGGGTAATGGCATAAGGGGTGCGGGGATTTGGGAGGGGGATTTTCGGGTTGTGAACTTGTGATGGGTAGGACAATTAAATCGACGATGGGGTTTATGTATGTTTGTATGGGAAGTTTTTGGACAGGTGATTAGGTGGGTAGTGTACTTACTATTGTGGAGGAACCGAGGTTAGTCGTTGTGATTTGTATGACTTTATGGAAGAGTGGTGGGTGAAGTTTTGTACTACTTACTTTACCACTTAAATGGGGGGGGGGGGGAGATGTAAAGGCAAAGGAGCAGTTCTGAATAATTGGTATCAGGCTTAATGAAGAAGGTGCTGAAAACTACAGGTTTTGTTGAGCTATGGAATCTGTATCGATCTTTATTGCTAACTACTAATGTATTGTAATCTGAAAAGATGCTTTATATTACTTGGGTATAGTTGTACGATACAAAAAGTCATGTTTCATGATGATATGTCGATGAAGATTCGCGGAAATCGAAAGGGGACATGATATTAGCGATAGTGGAAAAGTGTGATGATCATTATTGTGTGTCGAAACTTCAATAATCTAAATAAGAATAAGGAAGTTAAGCAGGAAGAAATAATTGAGATTATACTTCATTTCTCGGTAGTTTGAGCTGGTATATTTCTCAACTTCAGTGTTTCCTGTCGCTCTTTCCTCCTGGATTTATTGTACGATCTGTATGGAAGGTAAGGTATCAAAAATTAACCCTTCATATAAGCAACCAGTGAACAAAACTAGATTCACGAAGCTCAGTAAGTTAATGATACAACATAATTAAGACAAGAGGAATCTGACATTTTGATACTATGTAAGAAGCACCCTTACGAGGGGCTTGGAATCATATTATTACTATAATCCAAATCACGAAGAATCAGGGGCTAGGTCTCGAGGAGATATTTGTAAATCTGGTTAACTTAGTCGTGGGTATTCTGTTGTTAGGATACTGGGTTGAAGGGGAGGGGGGTTGGTGAATGGAATTGCAATGTGTATGAAAGATCAGGGAATGAGGAATGAGGAATGGAGAATGACAGTGAAAGTCGAATGAAATGAGATGATACAGGATAGAATGAAATAAATGGCAATGCAAATTCTTAATGAGTCAGGCGTGAAGTACACTTATACCAACTTAGATATATGTATATGGAACTCGGAGTAAAATTGGGGAAATCGGCATGGTGTTAAAAATATCGAGCTTTCAAAAATTCCTTCCACGCTTCGTTATCTTCCTAGTGTGTAAACCTGTCTATGTTCTTCGAAATTGTTCGAAGATGGTTTTGTATCGAAGTCTATATATATCATGAATGTATGAAAAATTTCTAGAACTAATCTAGCTAATTTCCTATTCCCGATTGGGTTATACATTTACTCATCTGTCTTTTGATAGGTTGAGGGGACGCCTATATGGGTATCTTGTACACTCTTGATTAATACTATTCAAGTCCTAGTATTGTGAGGAGTTTGGAGATTTAGCGAGTATGAATATATAAATCCATATCTTTGAGAGTAGAAAGATCTTTATCCAGTCTATTCAGACAGTAGCAGCTACAGCAGCAAGGAATCCAGATCATGTAGTTCGTAACAGAAGTTGTATGTTATCTTACATTGGCATTCATAAAAGATATGATCAAGTCGGTCGTGATCTTCGACTCAATTTTTGGTGGACGGAAGACCATTCAGTAGTAGCTCTCGTTGTTGTTGATCAAATGTATTGTTATTCATGTGTGATGTACTCGCAGGAATCTACATGACAATACAAAGGAAAATCAACGATTTGACCTCTCATTCTCATCGAAAACCTGCGTAGAGTTTAGAACCCTGATAGGCTATCTTCGGATTATATTCCTTTCCTTCTCATTCTAAGAGGCATGTGGAGATTCTCTCACAGGCGAGTAGCTCTGGCTCTTAAAAGCGGCAGTTCTAGTACGTTCCTCGATGCTTGATAATAAAAAGTCATCTGGAGGTTTCTCTATATACCTAGGTACTCTTATCCTGAGTTACTAACCACGGGGAAAAGATTCAGTAGTGAGTTGAGGCTGTAATAGAAATGCTTTTGAGTGTGCAGCTACTCCTGCTGGGCTAATAATGTGCTTGGAGTTTCCACTCTCCTACTTGAAGGGAGTGAATAAAGTGTGAGATTTACTAATACTTACCCTTTCTTGGATGATTCATATTACTAATTCATCGAGAAAAATAATGCAGGTGATAGCTCTACTCTGAGGAGTGAATGACATAGGCACCGTAAAAATTCGATTCAAATTCACACATATAAAGAGCACTCTCTGCACTAGGTAGGTAAGAATATCATCATTACGCATACATCAGACAGCTAAGGACTACATGCTTCTCCAGTTGCATGGAACTACGGCGTTTTGTTACATTGTGAACGTGATATGAAAAGTTGAGATAGTGGGTATTGATGATTCAAAATGGGGCTTTGGAGGATTAAGAATGCGGAGTATTAACTTAATGATGGTATAGTTTCTTTTCGCTGTAAAATGTGTTCTTGTCGGAAATATCTGGGAGGGTAAATCGATATCCGAAAACAAATATAGTGAGGAGTGACAACAAGAAGTAGGCTTTTAAGACGATAGTCTCAAGTCAAGAGGAAAATTAAATTCATGGTTGGATGTGATTAGATGATTTCCGTTCTTCTGAAGTTATCCCTCGTCTTTATCACAAACAAGTACCTCATACTCACTTAATAAAGCTCCCTCTGTTTCAGCGGCACTTACTGCATTACCATGCGGCGTGTAAGCTTTATATATTCGAGACGTAGAAGATTTTGGTTACTTCACTTCAGGGTCTATGAATATAGATCTTCGATGTGTAGATGCCATGAGTATTTTCAGTGGCATTATTATCCTCTTTCAATTTCTTCATTTTCATAGTTATAAATAGCCTTAAACCATCCGTGTAATCTTCTATTCCTTAATGAGGTATCAAAAGCTGCGGCCAAGAAATGTATGGCTTTGCAATATATAAGGATTTCCTCCTCGCATGTTGTTGCTTCCTCAGCAACCTCAAAGCAACAACAATGTTCACAACAAGTGGCCATCAGTTTGATGTCGATAACACTTTCGTAGAATACTTGTGGACTCCCAAATCAAACGAGGATGTAATCGGAAGTACTGGGATTAATCTCCCTTCTTTGAAGTGACAACAAAATATGATGCAAAGAATAGATGACAGTATCATGACAAGTATTCGGACAACAACAAAAGAGGAACTTACCACCTCTCCAACCTGTCATCCAGTCATCCATATCGCAGCGGCAGAATAAGATCTTTCCCGCAACAATTTATCCTGGCACATCAGAACATTTGCTATATTTCGCGTAGCTCGACATGTTGTCTGGTTAGAAATTTCAGCCAGAGTGTATGCGCTCTTATATAAACGCAAGCTACAAAATTCTTTGAATATCTGACACCTTGGTGGGAATACTAGAGATCCACACGAATCTCAAGCTTGGCATTGTCTGTGATTATAGAGTGAATAGAGATATGGGAGCGAGCACTCATTTCTTATGATAAGTTATATAAAGCACTGTCTTCGCCAGCATTCTCAAAATCCCAGGCTGATTAATACATGCAACTCAAGTCAAAAGTTCACTACCAAAATTAAGCTGAAATAACTTCCTCTTGTTAGTGCATCGTGTTCTATCAATGAAATTTATGGATCAGATGTCCGCGGTAAACTATATTGTTCCCTCACATATTTGCAATTGCCGTTATGATTTCGATTATTTGTGTTGTTGTTACTTCCTATGCCTTTAAGAAGCCATTGGCAGTGAACACAACCACCATTTGTACACAAGTGAATCCATTCAGCCTGCTCGAAATGATCACAAAGTATGTATTATATGCAAAACAGATCACGAACAGATTGACTGCTGTGATTGATCTGCGAGGCTTATTCCGGCAGTTTGTGCCATACAGAGCTTTATGGAGGAGTATTGATAGTAAAAAGATCTCTTTTGTAGTTCTTGAGGAAGTCTACATACCGTAGATCCTATTTGGGCTAGTTTTTGAGTTGAATTAAAATGTACGTGCTTGTAGTGAATCTCTCCAGGAACCAGGAATCTATGAGGATTGAAATATACAAACTCTTTCCCAAGGCTCTCTGCGTTCAATATTCTTCAGGTTGCGATCCATCGAGCAATGATATGTCCCTGTAACCTCCCCACCTTTTCAATCCTTCCAGCTTCGAAAGCTGTCTTTGAGAAAACCCAATAAGACTACGCGGAAGAGAGTGCTTCTCTGTAGAATTTCTGTACATCCATGAACTCCAATGTTCAAATTACTGTCGGAAACAGTACTTCGGTGTCAGTCTAGTCATCTCTGAATCTCATCGCTTCTTCTTACACCTTGAAATAACAGTTGTAAAAGCAGGATGAACGCATAAACATCAGTAGTCTTACTCAAGTATTGATGTGAGCAAGAACAACATGCTTTCAGCTTTTGAGTGTCTGCGATATCTGTCTTAATTCCTTTCCAACTTCTGGCGGCCCTTGAATAATGAGGTTGAGATTCAGAGTCCGATAATAGGTGCTATCCGTGGGCATGACTCGAAATATTGAATATAGTGAGTCCCTATAGATTGCCTTTCTCATGTAGCTTGGGTAAAAGCTTCATGGTTTCCTAGGAAGATTACCAAAAAGCTTTTGAACGAATCGCATTCATTACGAAGGTAACCAGAAGTTCGCAGAATTCTGGTCAAGCCATTAGAACTTTTGGTGACTCATTCAGTGCAAAATACCAGAGAACAAGATAATTGTGCAGCGTTACAGCATAATCAACACCAGAGAGTAGAAGTAACTTCGTCTCTTGCCGAAAATTCGTGTTTCATCGTTGCCATAAATCACAATATCTTTCTCTCATTCGACAGTGAAATTATGAAGCTCTCCTGAGATCTCTTGCTATGACGATTCCAAGTTCCTGTAAAAAAAAATATCCGCAGGTATTGGACCTTAATCTCATGAGAGAATCTTGACTCTGACATCATGATCTCTCGGTTCCGTTGGGATGGAGTTGTCTATACTCAGGGCTGTTTTCTGAACATCATATTGAGACTATGACCTATGAATTCCACCTGAATGATGTGCTCAACTACTCTCAAGAGTTGAGATTTAATTCAGATATTAGCCCGGAATCATCGTAATCCATCTGAACTTTTAAGCGTCGGTTATTTCGATGCTTTCGTGCCTAATAGCATATGATTGAATTCTCTTTTATAACAGATTATAGTGATAAATCATTTATTTTGAGGATTAACATGTGTTTCATATTGATATTAAGAAAGAAACAGCTGGAGTTTTCAAGACAGTGGAACTATCCTTCCGTGAATCGGAATATCCAAGGCCACAACTAGTACTCATAGTCTCATACTAGTACTCAAGCTCTGGCTACGGACACGTATACATCACCCACAAATCCTTTACTTAACCTAAAAAAATACATCCGAAAAAAATCAAGGGACTTCGAAATTCTGACACTCAGTTGCTCCGCTCACTCAGGAATTTGAAAAGGGGCAAAAATATGGAACCAGACATTCTTGAATTGCGAGGATTCATCCGCAACCCTAAAAACGAGAAGGAACTCCTACACAACCGTCGAATGTATGAAGAATTCGTATTTAAATATGAGATCTATCTCGCAAACGTAGAGAATCCTCACACCTTTGTGAGTTACTATGGTCCCATTCAACTTGGCCACGTTAGAGACGTATCCAATAAATGTACCAGCATCTACTTTCTCAAAGGTAGAACCCAGGGAAACAAATCAGCTATACCATCCGTCCACCGATATATATCAGAAAAATGGTTCGAAGGAAATATTCACAATAAAGATATTACATTTCAACGCTTTTTTGCCAAAATAGTGCTTATGTCGCCGTCGCACATGATCAAACATTGCCTTGAACTCCACAACATTTTTTGCAGAAAATTTGATGACCGCTCAAAGAATCGTATTTTCTGCTTAAAAAATAGAGAGAGCCTCAAAGTCGCAAAACTACGGAGTTACGACCCAGCACTAGAAACGGAAGATCATCATGATTCAAAAAACTATAGAATCACATCCTTGTTCCGAAGTGTGATTATTGTTATGAGAGATTGCAAACTCGATGTGCCGACCGCCGAACGAAAAGTGTTATTGGTGAGAATTGGGATCAAGAATGGACTTGCTTTATCCTTCAACTTTGATGGGGTTGAACAAGTCGAGGATGATGATCCTGATTTCATACCACCAAGCAATAGCATCACAACAACGTTGAAAGAAGCGGTGGCATTCGTTATGCGACTCCACAAATCGTTCGAGACTATTTTTCCATCATCAGATGAACGGAACACTGGAACATTCATCACAGACTCCGGAATGTCAGTATCCTTGACGGCGGCAACGGAAATGGGATATAAAGGAAGGGAAGTCGTGGGACCAAGCACTAATTGGGTCAACATGAACTCCGGTAATATTCCTCACAACTGCTACGAAGGTTTCTGCAATTCTTCGTATGCTGAGATGAGAGATGGATTTTATGAGGAGGAGTCAGAAGCGAGAAGCCAGCGAGAACCAGGGGCACCTGTATCTGATCCGAGCAATCAACTACCTATAAGGCCAACTCCTAGCTTCAGCAATAGCCCGAGCTTCGGCACTCGAATGAGCTTCGCTAATATCGCCGACAATTTATTTTCAATCTCGCATGACGTCTCATCAACTAGCAGATGGAATTGGATATGAGTAGATGTGCAGATCTCAATATCCTCAAATATTGGGCCTGTAGTTGAGATATCGGAACATTTCACTGGTACGCGTACTTTCCAATCCTGGACCATCAAACATTATCATGGGAACGAATCAAAATCCCCATAGACCTATATCACTCGAGGCAGCAAGTACTGAAGTAATAATGTTTAATAAAAGACAAGGCGGGGATACAGTGGTCAAGTTTTAGGAGGCCAGAGGAGCCACAAAGCAAGTACATATTCTGATGGAAGAGAATGGCAGGGATTGACATCTAGACAATGTTGTTTTCAGATTCGTATTAAAGTCGGACATTTGAAGCAGAAAAGGAGCCAATTTTGGGAAGGTGATTTCATTCCGGGACTCACCTATTGTATCGCGGCGATTTAGCACCCACGCACATCCTAATATTTACGGTTCTCTATCAGGAAAAGATATTTGGTTACAGCAGTTAAATTATTGATGTAATATTTACAAAACTTCTTATTCACCTATTGAACTTACACTTGTGAATTTGGTAATTGGGAAAATCAATAACCTTGAGTCTCAGAGAGAAGGGATAATAAGTATAGCTTAGGTTTATTTCCAGAAAAGATATGGCATGATAACATTAAAGCTACGTCCGCCGATTTGGGAGAAATCGAGAAAGAGAGAGTGACCGAACTTCAAGACATGTTAATTGATATCCAGATAATAATCATTTCATAGACAAACATTCAAATGTTTGGATTTGGGTTTCGAACAATAGTAGAACTTCACATATACATTTGCCACATCGTCCCCGTTTCTATCATCGTCATGAAACAGACATTCCAAAAAAACTGGAAACTTAACATAACTCCACATGAATATCTAAGCCAATTCATCGATTATTTCTAGTGCTATTATCCAAAGGGTGATAGATAGTAAATGCTGTCGGCACCAGGTATTGACTACTACCGTAACTGTAAATATGCACCCGCTGGAACTGACCGAGAGTCATAAGTCAACTTATGCAATCATATGTAAGTTATCCTATTAATGTAGATCACCAAGTATACGCTCTTTCCTTTCTGGTTTACAGCAGATCGATCCTTGTTCATAATATTGGCAAAACCCTGAATACAAAAGTCGCTACTATTCACTTACCTCAACGTTCTGGACTCTGGATAGTTTACTCAACTACACTTTCAACAAAATACCAAAGTGGAGCAATGAAGACTTGGCGTTCAGGTGTAACTACATCTGGATATACTACCAGATTATTGATTTTTCCAGACGTGCAACACATTTTATTACTCTTCCAATCATTGGCAGATCGAGATCTGTTAGTTATCAACTTTTGCAATGATCTGGGTAGTACTGAACTATTTCTTCGGACGTGTATTAACGTCAAGCAGGAACTATTATCTCATTGTTGATCTATGATCTAAAATTTAGCTTTAATGAACATGATTTACATTACGTGCAACAAGCTGGCAACTCTCCAATTATATTCCATTGAAATCTAATCTACTCATGCATCTTCTATAGTTGAGAATACTGGTAAGTCCAGAGCAACCTTTGGATTTTTAGAGACTTTCCCCAGTGGATATCTTTTCTTAGAAACCTTCTTCATTTAGTGATTCCCCTATGAACGCCATTTCCCGTTCTAACATAGCTACTTTAAATAGACCATCGGTTGAATGGATTATCTTCATTGAGTTCTATATCTGGATAGTATATCAACTATTCATCTAGCGGATTATAGAATGTACTTCCAATCGCATACCGCTTGAGACTATTGCTTGCTCACAAATCTATAATATAGTCTACCCGAGTCGATCTTAGATATGCAACATTCTTTAAGACTCACTGGTCCTCCAATCATGAATTGTTAGAAAACTCATACTAACACCTAATCTACCAGTATCAATATAATTAACCGAAAGTATCATTGCTAGTCCTAAAATAAAGGAGATCTAGCATTCAGCTCCCATGGGGACCATCTACAGTCTACCCGGTAGAATTCCAGACGTGCAACATTCAGCAAATCTCACATCGTCCCCCAATCATATACTTCTGAGAACAACTACCATCAATCCGTCTCATAAATTGTAGTCTAAGCTTCCGGAACCTTAATCTTGGATTTGCAATGAGAGGTATCCAGCACTGAGATCCTTACGTGATATTCCACTTACATTGAATAGTCTACCTGAAGAATTTCAAGACATGCAACAATTCGTAGGGCTCACACAATATGTCTAGATCGTCTGAAATGGTCCAACCGCATTAATTTCAGACGTGCAACACTCTGCAAAGAATGATTTCTTCTGGATCACCTGTCCCCCAAGGCTCTTTTCATATTCTTTATTCAATTCTAACAGCACAGCATGTAGTCAATCACACACTTAAAACGTTGATACGCAGACAAGCAGTAACTTCACACTCTTCCTCAACCATCTGATGTCCAAATTGTGTTCTCAATGCTCTCGTTTGTTCTAGGGTTGTAACACATATTGAACCGCACATTTCGACCCTTCATATTCAGACATGCAACAAATGTCAAGCTTCATACATCTCTCATCACCCATTCGTCAACATATCTCATAGTCCAGCGCACATCTTAAACTCACATTCTTTGATGTGCAACTAAGCGAAAGGCTGTTGTTTAGAGTTCGCACACACGAGTCTCCCGAACCTCTATTCTTATGGCCGCTACAGGTTGGTCTATAGATGAATCATACGTAGAGTCAAAAGATCGATGCATAATCACTAGAATCCCACAGATCAACGATAAATTGCACTTTGGTTAAAATCTGCTGGATTAGTTTACCAACTTTCGACATTTCGGATTTTTAGACATGCAACAATATCAACAAATACACATTTAAGATATTCTCATTCGTTAGAAATGATGTAAATACTGGAGCTACTACGATCGGCACTATTTTCCGGGTAGATATAAAGTCATGGCACTTTCTCATCAGTTGTGTTCGAACATTTCGTTCTCTCCCCACTGAGACTATCCTCTTTGAGTTTCGACGGTCTTGTATAATAACCACAACTTGGTTGTTCGAGTGGCCATAATCAGGGAAATTCTTGGATTGAGTTTGGACGGTGGTGTAAGACAACACGTAAGACGCTCCAGGCATTCAGATCCATGCTGCCTTGTATCAAAACGAAGGGATGTCCGTTTTAACTCACAAATTAAGGCACTCTTCGAATTCTGTTAATGATCAATAGTGATAGCCAGAGAGGTGATGTCTCCCGCTACACGTGAACGTAACAAAAAAGAAAATCTGTAAATGTTCTCAATAGAGCTTCCGCTGACGCCGCCTCGCCTGTTATTGCGTGGTATTGTCAAATCGTCTGATAAAATACTCAATTCCAGCGACCAGAACCATGTGAATTTAGTTGCATAGCCTAGTAGAAAGCAATACTTTCAGTATATTACCGATTAATAAATCAACTTGGAACTACCGTCAATCACAAAGTTGTATAAAATAGTAGCCAAGAGACTTACAGAGCCACACCTATTACATTACTCTTCGACTTCGCAAGGCCAAGTTCGCTTAATACAATGGGGAATCCACAACTTAATCGGAGGACTAATACTATATTAGACTAGATTACAATAAGCGAGATCAACCACACAGAAGAGATAAATCTTATCAAATTTTGGAAGCACCTCAAAGAATTTTCAGCTGGGGGTTTGATAAACTCAATAGGAGTCTTCTGGTTAACTGAATATTATTGAGCCAAGTACCAATAGTCACAATCGATATTGTTGTATATTTTTGGAGTATAAGTATTATCTATCATTTACCGTGTTTGCAATATTCTGCATATGTTATTCTTCATTCAGTGTAAGCCCGGAACGTGCAATGACTCCATGATATATAGTATTACAATGATTTGTTACACTATTGTCCAATCCAAATCTTCGAGCTCGAAAACCGGAGTACCTGTAGCTTGCCATCACATAGCATTTGTATAGAGTTTTCGCCGTTCGAAATTTGGATGCTTGAGTCTAGAACTAGAAGAGCCGAATTACAGACCTACACAACACAGAAGTCAATATCTTAGTGTCTTATTACTGTTTGTTAGACTGTTGAGATGATCTCACAACCGTCAGACCGTCCCGAGATTCAGACCTGCAACAAATAGAGGCCATCTGACCTTCGCAAGGACTAATAAGATGGCTTGCCCACAGCCCTATAATTTAACTAGCTCGAAGACGATTTTGTTGCAAGTCTGAATTCAGGGCATGCGAATGTTCCTGAGCTATCAGCGCAAATCAACCAACTACTACTTCCGATTTTCTGTATGTGGCAGGTCTATATCAAGGGCACACAAGATTTTGAGGGACCATATTATCATAGTGTTCGGGAAAATCCTGTGCCCTGAATTCAGATCCGCAACAAAACAAATATCAGATGACTTTCCCGTTAACTAACCGCAATGAGCCCGAATACCCTGAACTCAGATGTGCAACAAAGATAAATATCTTAGTCTTCCCCTTAGATGCTTGGTATAAACGCATGGGGCACATACATACTACGTGTTAAGACCAATAACAAAGGATGTGCCCTAATGTAAACGTGCAATGGACATATTGCCCTGAATGCCGACTTGCAACAAAGCCATGTGTCATGAAGTCCTCGCTAAATTATAGGAGCTAATCGATCGAGCTTCCGTACTACCCTCCCACGTGCAAAATAGAAGTGCAACAATAGCCTGTATAAATTTTCTAGTTGCTCTCATTCGTTCAAAGCTAGAGCAAAGGTTCTAGAAGAATCTGTCAGATTCGCCATATTGGAACGACCAATTATCTCTTATTGGATGATCCACGATCTCTTCGTAGCAGTTGAATGCTCAGATTTGCAACAGAACATGAATTTATTTATATAGCCTCTACTTGAATCACGTATGGTATCCACATGGTATTCCTTCAGAAACCTTTCCTCGTGGGTTTTTACACGTGGTACTTACATGACCTGGATATAGAAGTGCAACATAACACAACGCTGGGTGAC